CTTGAAGCTGGTGATAGGAAAAAGATCCCCTGACAAAAAACAGATTTTGGCTTAGATTGTGACACTTGGAGTTGATGTACAACCGATTTGGTTTCAGTTTTTAACAGACCTCAGTGTTTTTTGCAGTCTTGAAAAATTCATGTGGATATCTCCTGTAGTTAGGAAGTTATGAAGGGGGAAATTTATTCCAGATTTGGTTCGATACATACGTGTGAACGGCCTTATATACGCAACGCATTATAATGTACTGGGTTATACAAGTTTTAATGTCTTTTATTCATAGCCAACACATGCTATAAGTGTGGTGTATTGCCCACAGATGAGAAACACATTAAAAATCAACCTTCACATTGATTTTCCAAGACTCTGAAACTCCGTTGAAGGGTTTGGAACGCCATTCCTCCAAAAGATATTCCCTCACTTGGTGTTTTGATGTTGGTGTTGATCCAAGATCTCCCATAGGTGTTAAATTTGGTTGAGATCTATTAACTGTGAAAGCCGTAGCAGATGATTCACATCATTTTTCATAATAATCAAATCATCCACTGACCCCGTGTGCCCTATAAAAACGAACACTGTCATGCTGGAAGAGACCACTCCCAGCGGGATCGAAATGTGTCATCATAGGATAAAAATGATCATCCTAATTGAGTTTGTAATTGCAGAAAAACCTTTCCTCTGAGGGGACAACTAGACCGAGTGAGCAAAAATGACCATTACAAAAACATCAGATCCCCTCTCTGCATTTTCAAGGGTGAACATCAAACCTTTTCCTTTAATTCGTCTCTGCATCGCAGCATCGCAGCACATCCCACAGCTATTTACAATTTAAACTCAAGCCAGGAAGAGAAAAATGAACTCTATCACTGAGACGCCCAAAACTTGGCTTTTAGCCACCATTGTTTAAAGGTTAAATGTCAGTGCAGCTATTTTTTTCTGTAAAGTTGGGCAGCAACTGTCTTTCTTTCATACCGACTTCATCATTTAACCTCAAATTCCTTCCATACGACTTTATCCTTCAACGCAGAGGCATGTTCAACGCATGAACATCAAAACCCTGTACACTTCCAAGAAAGTGCAATCATTCAAAAGTGTTCTCATCAATTATTTGCTCCCAAGGAGAAAATATGTCCAAAAATAGGCAACAAGGTTCAACACCTTCAGTGAAAAATATAAGGTACCAGGCAATTATCCTTTCAGATCATTTTTCACCTGGTGTAGTTCTAAAAAGCCCTTTTTTCAATCGTCAACTCCAACAGAAATGAGATGGATTTATGGTCCATGACAATATGTAGAGACATTTTGAACTAAAACAGAGAACGCTGGGAAAGTCTGCTAATTTATATAACCTGACACATATCTTCAGGTGGTCGGAGTCTTTGAAGTAAACTCTAAGTTATGATTTTCTCCTGAGCACACCCTTTTTTAACTCAAATCAGAGGGCTGTTGTTCATTGATGCAAAACATATCTGTTGCTCAGGCTGCAAGCAGCAATCATGGGCCCTTGCACTTTGTTGCATGTCGGGGCACGCTGCAGTCGATGGGCTTTATTTCAGGCATGTATTCAGGTCTGGACTCTTACAGGATGTTACAAAAGAGCTACAAATCTCTTAGAAAACACCTAGTTAAAATTGCGCTTCACGTTACTGCATATCATGTGTAAAACACAAGAATTAATTTTGTCCTGTCCACCAAAGGCTGTCTTTCTTGTTGCCAGAATACTCACGCTGCCAGAACTTTCATCAAACATGAGAATATTGGGATAGACTGAGCGATACTTCCAATTTCAGGGAAAATTCCCCCACAGACCAAACACGGCGTTCAAAAAGTCGAAAGGTTTGCAATTTAGATTATGGTGAGACTGAACATATTTGATGTTGACGCGGTTGATTCTCCGGTATTTCTCCAGGAATCTGTTGGAACACAAAGTCTATAAACAGCTGGGATGTTGCTACAGTTGCACAACAAAATCAGAATAGCAGTTTTTGCAGAATTTTGCATGTTGAGCTCATGCAGGGCAGAATTATTTTAAAACACAAGATGTTTTTGAAGTTTTTGAGAAAGTCTCTTCTTCTTCTTTCACATTGGCTCTGGTTTCAGTCTTACATTACTGGCAGTACGCAATATGTCACCTAAAAATGCTTATGTTCCTCTGTTTCAGTCAACCAAGGAGTTCTTCAAGGATCTACTGGGATCTCTTCCTTTCATCACGTTCAGTTTCCACTGCTATGCTAATGACATACAGTTGCCAGTGCTCCCATTTGTTCCTTACCAGCTGCTTGGGAGAAATCAGAAACAGGATCTCAAACAGTTTTCTAAAACTGATCAACAATAAAACTGAACTCCTGGTTTATGGCTCTCAAATCTCTGCTTCGAAAAGCTGCCCATCTGTACATCGATGGATGATATGTTTCACCATCTCCAGAGATCTGCAACCTGGGTGTCATATCCTGGATTCCACCCAATTATTCTCATCCCATATTAAATCCATCTGTAACTCTGCCTTCTACCAACTAAAGAACATCTCCAGACTCCAGCCAAAGCGCTCAGACTCTGCAGCTGAAACCTTTGTTCCTGCTTGTTTGGTCTCCCTATCAAACCCTGCATATAAAACATGTTTCTCATATAAAATCCTTCTCCTCACCTATAAATCCCTACATGCATGTGCTCCACAGTATTTATCTGACCTTCTCCTCCCTTACTCCCCATTTTAAATTCTGTATTTCACAGATAAAGGCTTACTCTCCATCTCTCACACCAGACTGCAGTCCTTTGTGGACAGAGCCTTTACTGCTGCTGCTTTCATTCTCTGAACACAGCCTAGTCTGTGAGATCTGCAATGACCCATTGTGGATCTTGGAGACTAGGCTGTGTTCAGAGTGTGGACATTTCTCTGGAAATTTTTAAAAACAATTAAAATGGCACGTATTTACTGAGGCCTTTGAGTATGTGCTATGTACATATGAGTTATTAGGCTTTTAGGGTGGTTGATGTTTCATGGTAGAAACATATAAAATCACAAATTACATGCCCTTCAATAAAAACTCAAAGGTTTGAAACAAAAGCGTCACAAACATCCTATAAGAATAAACTGACCAAATATGGTAATGTGATAAATTTTCTGTGGGGAGTTTGCTAAAAGTAAAAAGCCTGCAAATAGTAAAAATGGCACCATAATCACACAGTAAATTTAAAATGACTGACATCATGTTAGGTTTATGTTGTGGTCCCTGAACCTCCTTGGCTTCTGCTCCAGCTTCTATCTATGTGTGTTTTTGCTCTGCTCCTGGCTTTGTGGATTTTGACCCTCTGTTCCCTGTGCACAGGTTCCTGGATTTCCTCCACCATTGTGGTGGGTGTGACCTTGAGCGTGAGAGTGAGAAAACTGCACATAGTGGATATTTGGACCCCTTTCCATTGGACCCCCCTCCCTGGAGCACCATTCCCTGTTTGCACATTTGCAATAGCGTCTTCACTGTAAATAAATGCACTGACTGAGCTCTCCCGAGTGTGCACCTGACTCTACCAGTCCATTAGTCTTGACAGTTCAAGGTGATGATACAAGAGTTTTTCATATGTGTGGCTACAGAATTTCATACATGCAACTTATCGGGAATAATAAACACAGTAGAATGGACAGTGCCGGCATTAAAACCTGCACCGCGGAGCTTTTGGTCAATAAAAAATCAAAAGCTTCCCAACCTGCTTTAAACTTTTCCTACATGATGACCTGATCAGCCTTCTGCACCGGGTTTTTCTTTGTTTGTTTTTACGTATAAAGCCTGTAAATGTCAGTAATTACACAGTCAATTCAGTTTTCTGTTGGATTTTGGGTATGTCTGCAAGAAGTTATTTTGTTCATCTTGGGATATTATATGCAGCCAAAGAATTTCATGCACGCTGATCCCTTCAGATGGAACTCCTAAGCATGCGCTTTGAAGTTAAAACTTCGGTATTGTTTTCATGAAACTCTCTGAAATTTGCTACAGCACCCTGGATACTGTAGCAAAAGTTTAAACTTTTAGAATATTAAAGATAAGAATGACAAAATATTATCTAAATCTGACCATTTTCCAAGAAGGAGTTCATTGAAGGACAAAGCTTAAAGTGCCAAAAATGATGCAAAAATGTGACACTTGGATCAGGTATCGATCCAAAACTTACTCAAAGACCTGAATCTCAAAAAAATCTCAAAATGTCCTAAAATCTTAACAAATGACAAAATGACAAATGGACAATTTATTCATTTTACTCCGGTGTTGTTCGGTGTTGACAGCATTAACATAGCACGGAGGAAGCTAACTACAAAGGACCAGCAGTTTGGAGGCTGTAAAGAGTTTTGACCTCAACACAAACTGTGGTCAAACACACTGAAATGACTGAAAACCTCCTACAATTTTTCCCCTGTTGGCTTCTTTGTCTCTCTTGCTCTCACTTGTTCAGTGTAATACTTGTTGGAAGAGATATTACATTACATTGTTGTTGTCAACTCAATTAATATGATTTCACCGCACCTCTTGCCAAGTGTGATGCTTGTGCGTGTCTGAGCAGTAAAAGGAGGTGCCAAATCAAAACAGTTAAGTGGGCGATACACACATATGACCCCTTACATCTGAACTGAAGATACAATTAATTTAGGATACTAATGATAAACACAGCTGTTCCATTGTTGCCCTGGACCACAAATTCATAAAGATTTAATACAAGTGGTGAAATCATTCGTTTAGATTAGCCTCCACAAACTCTCTGTCCTGTGCATTCCAAAATCCAACTGCTGAGCTATTCTGAGCATGTTTCAGAACATGATCTCCGGTCATGTCAAAGGCATTTTTCTCACAGTAAAACTTGGAGCAGAGATCTATAGCAACGATATGAGACTTCATAATAAACTAGAGGGCTATCTGTGTTTTTTCAGCGCAGAAATGAAACAATAATCCCTGCAGCACAAATCTCAAAGAGGGAAAAGCTCTTGTTCTTCAGGCCCGGCCCGGCCCCGCCTCCTCCTCCTCCTCCTGCTTGCAGGGGACAGAGAGGGTAGAAGTTAAGCAGTCAGCTCTCTGCCATTGTTCTTGTTCTGGACGTCTGCGAACGGGACGGGTGGCGCTGGTCGGGTACCGGACGGCAGTCTGTCGTTATGACGGGCTCCGGTCCGAAGCTCGGGGTCCTGCTGCTGGTGGCGGTTCTGCTGCAGACTGTGGTCGTCACCATCACCGTGCTGCACTTCACAACGGCTCTCAACTCGGTAAGGAAGAATTTAAACTTTGGACAGAGGAGTAAGGGACGCGCGGAGGCTTTTACGCATGGCCGTGCTTTGCGCACAGCGAGGCGGGGGCAAAGTTGATGCAGCCGCGTTTTACTTCATTTTGCTGCTGACTTAATTAGAGTTTTAATGCGCAGTTCAGCGGTGACAAGTTCTGGAGCAAACCACTTTAATTAGTTTTGCGCTCTGGTGTTGCTGCTGCGCTCCAAAGAACATATAGCCCACTTTTAATTTCTTTTTCTTTTTTTCTTTTCTTTTACACATTGTAATGCAGGTCAGTTACGCTGCTCTGGAGTTAGGTTTGCACAATGCAATGTCACGCAAACATACACACCTTGTTTTTCTCTGCAGCTGCAAACGTAGAACAGAGAACAAGGAAGTTAAAAAGAAAAGCAGCAGGAGAGGTGGCCTGCAGATCATTTTACGATCATCTGTGACTGTCAGGAAGAGTTTGTACAGACCTATGCGCCTGAATTTTTGTGAGTGTGATTATGCTGCCCTGACTGTACTTTTGTTGAAGTACATCTGAGAGTCCTCTGCTCAGATGGATTCAGTCCAGTACAACTCTCAGCCTTTGTTTACAGTAATCAATCTTTAACCCAGAGATGAGATGCAGCAGCGATATGTGGAAAATGAAACTTAAACACATGACAAGGAAGGAAAGGGATGCATGCCAGGAAATTATGATGACTCAGGTTCTAAAGCCAACTCTTTAGACAGTAATTGTTTTAGTGTGGACAATGGGCATTTTTCTACAAAAAAAGAGCAAGAAAAATTGGTGCGATTAAGTTAACATCAGCATGTAAAATTATGTTTTTAAAGCGAACAGACCTTGAAAACAACTTTTGGTTTTGCAAAATGAAACCACAGAGACCGTCAGGTGTGTCAGGAATGTTTGATGGGAAAATAAAGAGACATTGCTCCACTTGTTCCATGCTATACTTCATACCGTCACTATTCGCAGATAAAGGAGACTTTTGCCAGGAGCAGTGTCTCCTGTCTGACGGGCACTGACCTGCAGAGCATCACGGATGTGCGAGGAGATCTATGCTGGCAGGTCACTCAGCAGGTTCACCTCCTCATCGAGAAGGTACAGTATCACGAGGAATTATTGCTTACTTTTACCCCCCTAGAACTTAACTGACCTATAAAATCCACAAACTGTATGTAAACAATGAATGCAGCCACTGTGGCATTACTTTGAAATTAAATTAAAACTGTGAAAGAAATCAGGGTGCTTACTTTAAAGCTACAGTTTAAATAGGGAGAAAGCGTCTTAACTTTAAGCTGTCAGTGGGATGTAAAAACATGTAGAGAATAAGCAGCAAATCTGATAAAACCCTCTTATAATGTTTGGCTACCTTGCCCCGAAATGAGGTTTAACACTGAAACCTCTTAGGGGATCATTTTGACCTCATCCTGCAGGAATACCAGTGATGGCAAATAAGCATTTCTTAAGTTCATTTTCATTGAAATGTTCAAATTTTGTTACACATTGGACAAAACAGTATTTAAGATGAAGTATTGAGGGTTTTGCTTGTTATACAAATAACTAACTTCACTAATAAACAAGCAACACAACAGCTAACACATCTAAATAATTTCATTATTGTAGAAGAAGAACGTCACTGAAACGTCTAAGAGAAATGGCGTTAGTTATGCTAAAATAAACAGGGTATAAACACAGTGCGCTCATTGTAAAAACATTTTAAATCTAAACCTCAAAGTGGCTTTCAAAGTAATATAAACATTTTAACAGATTCATTATTGTACACGTTTGACACACACTCCCGAGCCCCACACTGACTACACGATGAGTAAACCAGTATTAGTCATGAAATGTTATCATTCGTTCATTAGAGTGCCGACACAAACAGCAACTCAACATATGCTGAATACGCGCCATGGTTATGCACACTATGGATACAGGAAGCCAAGAAAAAGTTAGAATACACTTAAATACATCTTTATATTTAACCAATAGAGAGCTGTGTCTGCTACCACACAGCAGAAACCGCCTCTCCTATTCACATGCGCAGCAACTTGATTGGCTTTTAACTTGCTGCTCTGAATATAATGCCTCTGACGTCACCTGATTCTTTCTAAAACCCTCTTCTGAAGCCTCAGTGATAGCATTTTGGCTGATGCCATGCTGTTCTTGTTGTTGCTGCATCCATAGACTGTTTAGTTGTAACTTACAGACACATATATCAGATAATTAGTACTTAGAAACAGCGATAAAATACCAAAGAAGAGACAAAGACTTCCTGGAAAAGCTGCTGGTATCCAGAATCCACATATTAGCAGAGAGCTACAGGCTACCTGACACTCATCAGACGCACAGCCTTAACTTTAAGCCTGAATAAACTTAAAATAATTCAGGTCTCATACAGCTACTATGAAGGGTTCAATTACCGGTAGTCACTAGAATAAAAACAGTTTTCAGTAAACCTGTTTAAATCTGAAGGTGTACATGTTAAACCTGGGAGTTACTGGGGGGACTGACTCACTTTAGGAGCCTCAAGTGGTCATTAGAGCAGTGGTCCCCAACCCCTGGGCCTCGGACCGGTACCGGTCCGTGAGTCGTTTGGTACCGGGCCGCGAGAGTTGAGGCTCAGGTGTGAAATGTATAGTTTTCAGGGTTTTTATCGGTTTTCAGCGTTATTTTGTTATTGTTTTTATCGTTTACTCGGTTTTCCTGGGTCTTTTCGTCTGTGTTATGAATAAATGTTCTTTTTTTCTGTACCGGTACTAGTTTTATTTTGTTGTATTTATCCGCGACACCTTAAAGGCCGGTCCATGAAAATATTGTCAGGCATGAACCGGTCCGTGGCGTAAAAAAGGTTGGGGACCGCTGCATTAGAGGCTCTGCAGCTTCTGGCAGCTCAGAGTTGCTTTCATGTCTCAGCTGCAGAGTTTTTCCGCTTGGTAAAATCTGAAAATGAGCTGTGCATATCGGTTTCAGCCGATCTCTATTAATGACTCGAATGATTTGGCCAGCTGCTGAGATTTCAAAACTTAATTTCTTCTCCTTCACTGCACTGCATCAAAAACTCCCCACCCACAGGGCTTTGGAGACATTGCTAACCTCCTACACTCCTCCCAGCTGCAAAGTCTGAAAAATGCTTACAAAGCAAATGCTGAAGAAGGTTTATTGTTATTTTTTATTCCGCGGTCCCTTATTTAATTGAACTCCCCATAGCTGGAGTTCAATTAAATTTCAAGCAAAGAAAATTTCAAGCAAAGTTTTACTCTTGATGATAAACACAAGAGGGGCGCCACGGGAGAGCAGGAGTACGACTAAAAAAAACAAGGCTTCTGTTTAACAGGGCTCCATTGTTATCCTAAAACTATTAATTTATTGTTTTCCATGGGATTCATTGGCAGAAAGAAAAATGTAGAATAAAGGCAGCTTTATCTCTTAAACTCAAAGAGGGGTCATTATTATTATCATTATTAGGGGCTTCCTGTGGATATTCGCTGAAGAAAGAAAAACTGAAATGATCCAAATCACTGCCTGCGGATGTACAATGAACTCCTTCATAGCTGGAGATGTGATGTGATCCTGTGTGGTTTAATCAGCACAGGAATGCATTCACCTGCCCTGCACTGACACACACACACACACACACACACACACACACACACACACACACACACACACACACACACACACACACACAGCAAACATATTCATTTTCTTTTGCTTGCTATTTGTGCACATTGTTTGTTTTCGTTCCCTTCTCTCCTCCTCTGACTTTGCTGCTCTGCTAAATACTTCGAGTTGGATTTTTTCCGATTCTGCTGGTTGATTAAATTTAGTTCAGAACATAAACAACACAGAGACGGTCTGATCCAGGACGTTGGTTTGGGTTTTTAAACTCGGAAGGAATCTGAATCTACAGTAGCATTTCCTCTAAAAACACACTCAACAGGCAGGTGAATGGTAGAAACCTAAAAAACACCCATAGCTGCAGATGTGTTGGTGTAAAGATTTACAGCGTCAATTAAACCTAATTTAATCATTTTATTGTACTCACTGGCCACTTTGTTAGGTACACCTGTTGAGCTGCTTGTTAACAAAGATATCTAGTCAGCCAATCACATGGCAGCAACTCAGTGCATTTAGACATGCAGACAAAGTTCAACCTGATCATCAGAATGGGGAAAAAGGTGATTTAAGTGACTTTGAAAGGTTGTTGGTGCCAGACAAGCTGATCTGAGTGTCTCAGAAACTGCTGATCTGCTGGGATTTTCCCACACAGTCATCTCTTTGGTTTACAGACACTTGTCTAAAAAAGAGGAAATATCCAGTGACCGTGAGTTCTCTGGATGAAAATGCGTCATTGATGCCAGATTGAACTGATAGGAAGGCGATAGTAACAAACCACTCGTTACAACCAAGGTATGAAGAAGAGCTTCTCTGAACACGGAACATGTCAAAACTTGAAGCAGATGAGCAGCAGACGACTCTCCTGTCCGCCTGGTGTGATGAGTCTTAGTTCCTACAAATGTGCTAGCACCAATATCGCCAGGATTTTTCCACTAAGAAGCATTATTTGCATAAAAAAAGACACCTTAAGACAATTGATCCTGTAGGAGAAAATATTTCTGTTTGAACCAAAGCAATGAACCGGCTGACCAGCCGTTTGTCAGACTGACAACCCGGTATTAGTATTCCCGTGCTGAAACTATCCGGTGACATCTTGTTTTTAAAGTATGCATGAATCTCTAATCTCCGATGATTAACTCATCTTTTTTGGGAATATTTGAATAAGTTACCTGTTGTTATGTTCTGATCATCTCTTTGACAGCTAAATAATCATTAAATGATGTCTTATCTCTTTTCTCAGATTCTTTCAGAACGCCTCTTCTTTTTTTCTTTTAAAACACATTTCTGCAGCTGAGCTAAACTGTCCAGAACCATTATTTAGAAAATGGTTTTAGTTGGTTTGGCAGTAGTTTCCAATTAATTGGCAAAAGAAATGAAAAACACGAGGAAATTGGAGACGGGTCGTTTCCAGGAAAGAATCCGTTGCCAACGTTAACACGAAGACTTCTTTTTTTATTCAAAGTCTCCTGATCTGATGTTAGCACATTTACTGGGTCAAAGTTAGATAAGACGCTGCTTGGCAGGTCTGCGGTATGAGCTGATGGCCCCGCTCGGCAGATAAAGTGGCAAAAGGTTATTACTATGTTTAATGTTACAGACATATTACTCAAAAATCTTACTTCACCACTGTTTTTCCTACAGTCATTGTCTCAGCAGAGGCAGAGGCAGAGGTTGAGGCAGAATTCGTCGGAAGTGAAAGGTGAGAAAGCAAAACCGAAACATGCAAACATCTGACCTATGACCTACTAAATACTGATCTATCCTCTGATCGGACTTTTCTGGGTGCATTTTCCATCCTTTCCTTCACGTTAGATGAAGTCTCCCAGGTGCTGCTCTCTCTCTCTCGCCCCAAAGTTGCCGCTCATGTCACGGGCAGCTATGTCCCCAAACTGGAGCGAGCAGGAGGAGGTGAGTGCTGCTGAAAGTGGCCGTTAGGCGGATTGCGTTAGAGCAAAATTTAAACAGCATGCACAGAGTGACCTTTCAATTTAAAGGCAACGTCTGTATTTTATTCTTGGACTCTACTAGCGTAGCTTTGCATGAGTTACACTTCAAAATAAGCCAGATCCCCTGTCTTAAACAAGCTGTTTGCCCTTTAAGCCAACTTTCTTCTTATTGAATGCCCCTCATTAACAAAATTTGGACAGCAGTTGGGTGCGGCTTCTGGGCCTAAGATGACCACATTAGGGATATCCCCTCTCACTGACATCATAGAGATTTATGAGTAGAACAAACTCCCAAAACTGAGAGTTTTTTGGCTCAGAATGATTACTTTCACATATCCTGACCTCGTTATTAGGAGTCTTTAAAACAAACTGTTGAACTCCACCACCCTTAAAATGAAGTTTTAGCTGTCATCACATGTGATTGCATAACAAAATCTGATGTTGTCCACTTGCCTTACTTCCTCAGCTCCAGTCTTTGCTGGGCGGCGCGTTTATGGCCAGAAGATCTCATGGTGGGAGGGCCGTAAGGGGCTGGCCTTCCTCCAGGACGTCCAGCTGGTGGATGGGGAGCTGGTGGTGTCGCAGCCGGGCCTCTACTACGTCTACGCCCAGACTTACTTCAGACACAGCCACCTGGGGGAGGATGGCGAGGACAGCGAGGAGGTGGAGGATAGGGGGAAACCTCTGCTGCAGTACATCTATAAGAAGGTGAGAGACGCATTCATAAACTAACTTATCACTTTTTGTTCTTTCACTCGTCTAGTGTTGTAAAAATTTGGTTTGACCTGTACTCATGCATCAGTCTAATTATTCATTTTGGCGATAAAACAAAACTCCTTCTGCATGAATTAAATCCAGCTTGTCTTGACCTATCTGCACATTTATTTGTAATCTTTTAGTGTTTGTTGCACAGAACATCGCAGACTGTTGAGTCACTGGGGCGGGAGGGGGAAGGGGGTGTTAGGATGGTGTCTGACTAGTAAAATATGATGACTAATAAGCATTCAGACAGAATTGCTGTAAATATCGAGTAACCTTTGGCTTCTGCTTTGTCAGCTAAAACTTCAATTAAAGGGGACATATTTTACCCGTAAAAATGAAAAAGAGCCATTTTCTAGCATTATGCTTGTGTATTAATGGGCATTCAAATCCATTGTGCTTTTTATTTTTGGATCAGAAATGAATTAAAATAAAAATGTCAAAAATGGAGCCCACTGGGGCATCCAGTCTGGTTGATCAGGATGTAATAGTTGGGATTTTGTCGCAAGTTTTAAAGCTAATGAGTTCATGGGAGTGTTTGTTCAAACTGTTAATTTCTGCCAATTCAGACGCCTGAATCATTGTTCGGAGTCTTTGGAGTCCTTCTGAAGAAGACATTACAGATGGCCTAGGGCTGTGCGATATGACCAAAATCTCATATCCCGATATAAGAATTCTATCGTCCGATAACGAAATAAATCACAAAAATGTAACATTTTCTGTAAATTCTGTGAATCTCGGGCAGCTCGACTTGCGTGAAGTGTTTCCAGCTGCGCGTCATGTAGCTGGAGTCGAGTGTTTTAACCGATGCATGAAACGATACATTTTTAGACGTAAGTTGTAACGGCCGCCGTTTTATTTGTGAGTATTTATTACACGGCGTGCTGCGGGGAACTGCCTGTTCTAACGTTTGAGTCTAAGGTTTATTTTTTAGCACCTGCGGCTCTTTTTTACTTCTCATGCGTAAATAATCTGCTCTTTCACGTGATTCAGTTTATTTTGAAAAGTCTCAACAGGATCTTGAGCTTTATTGTGAAAGGTTTATGTGGAACATAAACAAGCAGACACGCGATGCTGTTACCGTCGGCATAAAAACAGGCGCTTGTCCATCTGTAGTGTGGTTATATTAAATATAAGAGAAATAGAGAACTTTAAGAAATGAATATAGCCACTACAGTGACCATCAAAACCATGAAAAAATATTGCCGTAAAGAGTTTATTTTGCGACACCACGAAACAAACGATAGCGTAAAATGAAACGATAGACGTTTTTATATCGTCATCCGATATATATCGTTATATCGAACAGCCCTAAGATGGCCTGTCATAACAAACCAAATTAAGGAGGTTGAGCCAAGGATCTGCACCGATACTTCTCCGTTATTTATGACAACAATCTTTCTTGTAGTGACTGTGGAGACTGTGCAAGTGGAAAAACATGCTGAACTTATTGTCACAATTTTTTAAGGCATCCCGGGCCGTGTGCCATCTGTTTGTAAATGGATGTTTTATTAAATGTGACTGTTGGACTTCACTAGTTTAACAGTGGTCATGCTTGATGTTTGCAGGTATGTGACAGTAACCAGTCACTCACCAGGCAAGCTGCAGCTGATTAGCATTAGCCAAATTAGCTGCCTCAACTATCACCTGACCAACTTCCACTTGATTTTTTTGCTGAACAACCAAGCGAAAACCTCTGGTGCTGAAATGATACTGTGTAGTACAGGCCATCAAAGAAGTCTGTGTTAAAGCTTTTCTGAGTAATAGTCTTGTTTTTTTATTAGTGAGCATTTAGAAACCAGCCACCGAAGGAGCATGGAGCACATGGATTGGATTCTTCTTTGTCTTTTGCTTTGTTTTTCTGAGCCCAGATTATAATTGAAATTAATTTGTTTTGTCCTGCAAAATACAGATTCTTGGACCAGAGTATGATTGAGAAACTTGTAAACATCTCCCAAGAAAGCTTTTGTTTAAGACAAAATTTAGGAGTTTTTTGATCATAAGCAGTGACAGCTCGCTGACAGCTGATTGGTTGCTTCTCTTCTCTGTGGTTGAGACTCAAACATGAAATCAAAATTTGTAATTCCTGCCTTCACGCCACCTTTGAAGCACTCATTCTTTAGCGCTTCTAACATATCGCATTTCTCTCACCTGCTCTTCTCCCAACAGATGAGCTCATACCCGGCTCCCATCCTGCTGATGAAAACAAGCCGCACTTCCTGCTGGTCCCGAGGTTCCCAGTACTCTCTGCACTCCGCCCACCAGGGGGGACTGTTCCCGCTCACTACCGGCGACCGCTTGTTCGTCACGGTGACAAATGCATCTGCTGTGGACATGGACGAGGAGACCAGCTTCTTCGGTGCATTTCTGATCAGCTAGAGTAGCAGGTCTTGGACTGGGCATCTCGGGTTTTACCTGGTGAAATAGCTTAATGATGCTACCGTGCTGTAATGATGAGCGTGGTAGCATCTAGACTTCTCCTAGAGTTCAAAACTATAAAAGTCAAGGAGAAGTCAAACAACTTTTACGACACTGGTTCTCTGGGGGGAGAAGACACTGATGTGGCTGTGCATGAGTGCTTATCAAACCAAACAGACTTTTGTATTCGAGTGTCTTAAAGTAAGTGTGGACTGGACTTTCCAGGGGTGTAGTTTTTTTTACAAACATCTCTTTAAGGTGGAAGTACAGTTTTTAAGCATATGTAGGCCCAAAAGCAGTTTTAATATCCAACTAGGCATCTATTGCCTAATTCATAGCTCTGGACCCAATATCCAACCTAGATCTTCAGCAAAATATAGACTACCTGTTGCACAAACTGTTTAATTTCTTGTTGTGTCATCTACAATCTGTGTGGAGAGCAAAAGGAGGATTCAATTTGCTAAAATGCAATCTAGAAAGGAGTTCCTAAACTAATCCACGGGCTACACCGGAATACCCCCCAAATTACGCGTCTCCAGAGGCTTAAACAACAGACTAGCTGAAGTCTTGGATAGGTAGGTCTCAATGTCACACTGAGATGCAAACCTGCAGATCAACTCTTACAGCCTACTACACACCCTGAGGCAAATGTAATGTAGGGCATGCGTTTTAAACTGCTTCAGCCTAGCTACAGTTGCTCCACACCTGCAAGCCACTTTGTAGCCCACCTTCACCTACCGCCTCTTTTTCTTTTCTTCTCTGCAGGGTCTTGCTGCTGCTGCAGGGGTCCCAGAGCAGAGTCATGTAGCCAAAAGTAAATTAGTGCAGATGGAAGTAATGTTTTGCCATAGTGGTCTTGCCTGGGGTAGACAATTTGGCTGTGAAGTGGCTGTGCAACACAAATATCCACAGGAAAGTTTGCCAAAGACCGAGAGTTTGTCAAACTTTTATTCTTTGTTCTTATTCTTCTTTAACCCCTGAAGCAGTCGTGCCTAAAACCACCAAAAGTTGGAACCATTGAAACTGCCTGTGTTGCCTGAACAGGCTTCCACTTCCATGGGGCTAGCACAAAGAATCAGAGCTTTAACGCTTATATCCAAGCCTATGACTAATTTAGAAACACTAAGAAAATTGTACGTCTTTGGACTGAGGGAACAAACTGGACCACCTGGAGAAAAGCCCATGGAGGCACAGGAAGAACACAAAAGCTCCACATAAAAGGCCCACCTGGCCACAAAGTTTAAACCAAGGAACCATCTTGCTTTGAGGGGACAGTGCTCCCCACCAGGCCTGGATACACCAATCACAAATAAACAAAAGCAATACCAGCTGCAGTTGTTCTCAGTTCTGCCATTAAGAAATGTTTGTATAAAAGTCATTTGAGTCCACACAGAAATTTTAGGTGTATTCCTGTTTAGAGATGTAAATGCTGTGCTATATTTTTTTATTTTTATAATAATCATTTAAGTATTGAGTTCGTGAACCCTTTGTTCTTGATATTCCCCCAGTCAGAGTACAAACATGTGGGTAAAAGTATAAACCTTAGAGACAATTTACTGCCTTTCAGATATACTTAATATACCGACCCATCATGTTGACAACCATATTGGGACTATGAAATAGGGCTGCTTACAGTCTCGCTTTTTTCTGTCAGACTTCAGCATTTTGGCTCGTCAACTCCAACCTTTCTCCAAGAGGTGCATTAAATGCTCCCTTGCAGTTGGTATTCATGCTATGTTGGATTAACTGCAGATGTGACTTTCAGACTTGGGAAAATGGTCTGCATCTAAACAGCAGAAATATGTTGTTTTTATGTCTGTGTAGCTCTGCTGCTTTCCACATTGTTGTAGTGAACAACACAGCAGATGCCTTCCAAGGTAATTCAAATTAAAAAGCTGTTTTCACACATGCTCTGCAGCCCCGAACCTTAGTAGACATGACCAGACAGAGGTGCATGATGGAAAACAAATGTTTGAGGCAATCAAATAGGACCGTAGCCTGATTTAACCTTCCAGATCTCTCGTATTAGGTCCCAGTGATTTGTGAGAGCAGAGCAGCTATTTTTTGGTACAGCACTAATGATTCAGAAAAGAAGAAATTCAACTGTTGACAAATGTCTTCACTCAGTCTTTCAAAATAATAAAGCGTGAGAACAGAATATATAACAAATAAGGTGACCAGGTTTTTCCTGTCTGCTAGCTGTCGGTAAAAACTGGCGGCCAAGTGATTTCAAAATTTATGCGATGGGAATCAAACCAGTGCACTCCCCAACAAGTTCCAGGTCACGTCTACAGTCCTGCCAAGGAAATGTTTGTTTTCATGCGCAACTAGAGCATCAAACAAACCACACAAACAGCTTTTTTCCTCCAGTCTTTGCTTGTTTAAAGCAGCTGGCCTCAAATTTCATTCTGAGTGGAATAAAATATAAAATCTTGATTCTAATTTAAGGTGCAGAAAACCTGGAGAAGTTGCTATAGTTAACATCATCATCATCTGCTAATGGCGTGAATGTAAACCCCCTCCAAATATTTAGCATTACCACAAAAATGATCAGCTCGATGCTGCTGAACACGAGACTACACCTGGTAATGTAACTTTAAGCAACGAATACTTTTAATCTGGTTATGAATTCAATCTCAAGTATCCCTATTAAAGGTATTTTGTTGTATTCACTGATGGATGCAGCAAGATTTAGTTGAGTTTAACGTGACATAAAAAGACATGAATGCAACATTCACTGTATTACTTATGTAAATAAATACAAAGCACAATCATTTCTCGTACGTTGTGTTTAAGAACGCGTGTTTGAACTTTTGTAAAGGTGGTTGTTTAAGTTTTGTTAAGTCATGTTATGCTCCGGACCAGCTTTGGTGTAAAAATGTGGTTTCACATTTGTGTTTTGGGGTTAATTATTTATGAAGTGGATCTACTACAAAACAGTCCATGCTATTTTTCCCTTTCACTCCCGATCAGACTGGGAAGTTGATGTGAATTAAGCCAGTACCTTAAATTCAGCCCTCTTTGTCCACTTCAGTTTATTTGCCAGACATCAAAAACGGACACTCATCAGGTTATTAAGAATTTAATTCTTTGCCAGATAATTAAATGTGAATGTAAATAATCCAATTTTTGTGGGTGTAAATATGTGAAATAAAGATTCAATAAAAAAGCTCTTTGGATTTTTTTTGTCCATTGTCTTATGTGAGAGACAGTTGCACTGGAGACGAGGGTGAAGTCAACCTCAGCTCTAATCAAAAGCTGAGGTTGGCAAACTCTGTGAGTCCAGAAAGTCAGCTCTTAAGGATATAATAAGAAATTCTAGGAAACATCTGCTGAATGGACCAGTATTTATATTGTGCCTTTCTTCTCTGAGCAGTCAAAATGTAAATCATAAATTAATACCACCACGTTTTTGGAAAACTACAAAAGCACACTCAGTAACGTGATGCCAGGCTGCAGCAGCACAGCATGTTCTCTGGTAGCACGAGCAAGCAAGCGGGTCGCAGAAATCATGGAGGAAGAAGCCTGGGATTAGGAGATTTTTCTTTCTCTAAAGGCCTGCAAACCAAATAAGCTGAGTCACTTTAATCCTCCTCAAAGTTTGAAGGGTTGCTGTTTGTTTGTGGTTATAAATTAGGGGCATGAAATGCTGAAGAGAACGGAAAATTATGCAGTTTAACAAAGAAATGTGAATGCATTAAAGCAGACATCGTAAAAAGAAAAAGAAGACAAAAAAAAGAAAATACCATTAGCATTTAACAATTATACAAGAAAAGAAAAATATATGTAATAATACACTATGTGTAATTAAGGAATTAATTTTTAGGGAAAAAACAAATAAGCCGCTGAATAAATAAGAAAAAGGTGTGAACGTGTGTTATTTGTGATCTACGGGGGTTAAAATCCTTAAAATCACAGATCTATGTGATTTATATGATTTAAATTTGCAAAACTTTTTATACGTGGGCACAAATCATACCTCATGTGAAATACCTGGGGTTATAAATTACATTTTAAATTTAAATAGACAACAAGTGCCAGGTTTTTTTCTCCAAATAAGAAACACGAAAGCAGCATCGAAGAGCCCGATATCAGACAGTCATCAAATCATGCCTCGGGTCTAAAAGCAGGCAAACATAAGAGAATAGAACAATGAATCAGGGCTTCTGAATAGAATAGAATAGAATAGAATAGAATAGAATAGAATAGAATAGAATAGCCTTTATTGTGATTGTACATGTACAACAAAATTATGGGTGCTTAACACCAACTGTGCAGGAGTAAATTATCAATAGTAAGACAGCAGGAATAAATATCAAACAGAAGAAATATGTACAATCAAGAGAAATATATACAAAACAAGAG